TAAATTTTCATTCTCCATATTATTACTTTATCATTTGATATTATTTTGTAAGGTTTAAGAGTTTAAATTAAAAGTGTATTAAATGTATTTTTTATTAAAAATTTATATTAAAAAATAAAAATTAATTTTTATATACATTTATTATAAATAAATAAAAAAAAAACTATTAACCTCAACACCAATTAAAAAAAAAAATACTATTTTGCATATCATTTTCGGTTAAAAGATTTAAGGTTGGAGTTCCCAACAAACTCAAAACTCATTGGTGGACTGTACACCAAGTTGCGTGGGAAGTATCATTGATATGAGTCAAACAAAAGTCAACCTGCAGTGTTTACGGCTAGTGGGCGTCATATCGTCTTGGAATATGAGCATGGTGGTGGTTTGGAGGAATATGTTGCTTCCCCGTGTTTCATTTTTCTCGTTACAATTTCACCCAAACACAAATTTTTTTCCTTTCCACAAAATGGTAAAGGAAAGTCAAACTTCAATGTCTATTCCTCTTCGTTTTGCTTTATGCTGCAATCAGTTCTTTCCTTTTCCCACCATTGCTCTGATTCCGCTTCATGGGTCGCAGAATTGGTGAACGGAAATCGGAGGTACTTAACTGCTTCATTTATCGATTTGACTTTGCTTGTTTCCCAGGTAAATTTAGTGTTTGCTTTATGTTGCTTTTTTCTTTAAATTTTTACTACTACTTTTGATTGTAATGGGTACTTTTTTGCTGTTTGGTTGCTGGGAAAGTATGATGATCCATGGCTGGTCATATCAGTTTTGGTAGATATTAGTTCGAATGTTGAATTGCAGTGTCTTCATGGGGAATTTTCTGTTTGGTTATTGGAAGGAGTTTTTGGGTGGGGATGGGAGTGGGAGGATTAGTATTTCTCCTTGTTTATTTCCATTGAGAGAAAGGGAACTTTAAAATGATGGAAATTTGTTTCCTTTGATAAGCTTATTTGAGGTTTTTCTTTTTTCTGAGAACCATGCCTAGGCCGGGGGGGGAAAAGAATATTGGAAACTGGAAAGTAGAAGTAATTCTATTTCCCATAACAATGGTCATGAGTAGGTTCTGTTCATCTGAAAATTCCAGTTTATTGTATTCCCATGGGAAATAGAATGCCAACCAGGAACCAAAGAGAGGTTAAGATTTTTTTTTTTTTTTTTGGGTACAATGGATGATGGGCTATACAACCGGGATAGCCCTTCCCTTCCTAATTCTCACCTATCTCAGGATTTGAACTTGAGATCTCCAACATGGAGACTTGAGCTCTTAACCACTGAGATGTCCTCTAGGGAACAGTTGAGATTTGTAATTTGGTTAAAAGTTTACTTTGTTTAGGGCAGGTTTCACCAAGTTCATCAATCCAATCATCATCAAGATGATCTTTTAATTTCACCTATTGGCTCCCCAGTTAAACAGACTTAAGTGAAATTTGGTTGTGACCAATGACAATTAAATAATTGAGTTGTATTTCCATTCATTTTCTGATATAAGGCCAAGATTATGACTTTATGAGTAGTTGATAGAATGTAAATGGTGCTGGCAGGGAATTAAATGTGGTGAATTTAGCAGATTCATTGCATCAGTCAAAATGATCATGAGGTAATAGTAGCCTAGTAGCAAGATGGAAAAAAATAGCCTTTGAGAGATAGGAAGCCAATATAGATCTGTGCAATATGTTCTGAAAATTCTTGCAATGCTGTCATAAATCTGATTTCAACTAGCAAGGGTTGCAAAAGTGGGTTGAACAATTCTAAGAGAATGCTTAGTTCTATGCTCTGAGTCATGCTTTTCACGCGCTATACATGCTTGAAATGATATTCTCTATTCTTCAAATCATGGTTTTTAGATCATTACCTGACTGTTCAATCAAAATTTAGTTTCCCTTTTTCTTTTAGTCATTAACTGACTATTCTGCGGATGACTTTCAAACCATGTTTTTCAATTGTATAGCCTGCATATTAACTGCTGAATGAGGGAAGCAAATTGAAGTTTGAAGAGAATTGACTTAAGAGTTGACTGATGTGATTATTTTGAAAAATGAAAATTCAAAGCAGAATGAATGATCTTTAATATTTTGCTGATTTTTCTGTTAGCCTTGGGATATGGTAACTGCATAGAGTACGCTGCAGGAGGGCGTTTCTGCTCATATGATGGGGGATCATGCTCTGTTAAGAAGGGTAGTTCTGATTGTGCCATGTCTTGGACCTGGTTAACCTGGTTATGTTATCTGCCTGTTTATATATTCTGGTCTAATTTTCATAGCTAGTTTCTTCTTACCAATTTCAGGCTTCAAGCCTTCGTAACGGCAAAAACTGAATCACTGGTATTATTATTATGTTCAGGAAAGATGCTCTAAAATAGTTTCATTTTGTTTTAACTTGACTTCATCAGTGAAAACTTGTAAATATTATGAACCTGAACGTATGATTCTGAAAGAGGTTGTCTCCTAGTTGACTTGTTTTTTTCTTTCTTTTGTTATTAATTTGTAAAATGCTTTGTTTCTGTGGGAGTGGGACCGCAACTGGATATTGATCTGTTTCTGTTGCTTTTTTGTTCTTTCTCCCCCCCCCCCCCTTTTTTTTTTTTTTTTTTTCTTTTTGGACCTATTTCATGGTTTCTAAATGCTGTCTTCAAATTTTTGTTTCCCTTCTTCCTTTATTCCAGGTTCTGAAAATCCAGCTTTTGAATTTTAGGACAGATGTTTAACAGATGAAAATAAGGTGAGGTGATCTTCAAAACTGAACACTTTCAAATATAATTCTCATGATTTTCTATGTTACATTTTTTTTTCAAGCTTCAATTCTTCTCAACAAAAAATTAAGACTACGTTCATATAAAGAATAATGATTGTCTTAAACTCTTATTGCTTTTGCAAACCTTACAGGGGAGAATAAGAAAAATCTTCTACTTACTGAGGTTAGGTTAAGCTAATGGTTTTGCTATGCTAGTCTTAGATGAGGGGACCACTAAACTATGTGATTCAAGGGCTGCTAACTAGAAAATATGTTTCCACTTAGGGCCAATCTTGTTGTCCCCATTGCCATGGAGGTTGTTCTAGACCATGATCCACCCCTGAAAGGTTAGCTCCATTGGTCTCTTGGAGACCAAAAGGATCTTCCATCTCCCAAATGTTACCTCCGCTGGTTTCTGGAAGATCAGAATGGTCTCCTCCAGAATATGAAGTTCCTGAGGAGGTTGTTCTCTCCATCATTGTGGCAGCAGCACCTTGAGATGTTGCAGCCCCATCACCTTGAAGATGTGTTCCTCTTGACACAGCTTCTGATGGGCGTCTGTCAAACGCTCGAAGGCTGCCCGATACCACATAAACTCGGCACAAACAGAATTCATGCCTTAACTACATTAAAGAAATGGTAAGTTAGAAATAATTATTAGAGATGGAGAAGGTTCATCTTTGGGTTTAAAATCCAAAAGCACAATATAATCATGTTTGATCATTGCACCTTAGGTGTGGCACCTGCAGCAGATGGGCTGGCTACCATTTCAATGGCTGTGTATTCATTCATCTTCCACTTGGTTTTTCTTCCTAGAGGAGCTCTCCCCCTATAGAAAACCATTGTTTTCTTCAATCCAATAACCCGGTTATCAGATGAATAGACATAGCTTGGAGAGCCTGTGGCCTTCCAGTACCCAGAACCTGTAGTTCTGTTAATTCTCCCTCCATGAGTTTCCCTCTGTTGTCTAGGGGTAAAGAAAAACCATTGCTCAGTGTCTGCTCTACACAGCTCGCCAGCAAGCTCTGCAACGTATCACATAGTTTAATAACTTGTTTCAACGTTCTATGTCAACATGAATCATTCTTTTTGATCACCTACATGAAACCCAACTCTTTTTTTTTTTTTTTGCAGTAACTAGAAGTAAGATTTGTACCTGGAAGTTGCGATGGTTCCACATCGTAAAGGTTGATGACTGGGATAACACGGTGCATTTCCTGTCTATTCCCATCCAACTGGTTGCGTAGATAGAATGAAACTAGCTCTTCTTCTGTTGGATAGAAGCGAAAACCTACCGGATGTTCCTCCATTTACTGCAACTCTATTGATGCTGTTGTTTTGCTATGTTTGGGTTATGATCTGTGTTTTGGCATGAACCATATATATATAGGCAGCTGGTTTGTTAAATGGAAAGCGTACAGGGACCGGGGGAAAGATTTGCCGAGTAAATTTAGAAATTTTGGTCTGCTTAAGGATTGGTGGAAACTTCTACGCGTTTATTCCTCCATCCAATAAAATCTGGGGTTGAACCAGTCATCTTTCTTTTGGTTCCCTGTAGTGCTGCATGGATTTGCTAAATACGTGTCTTTCCTAAAATCACCTACCACATTAAATATTGTCCATCTGATCATGTAGTCAATCTTATTCTTCATCTGATGATCATCATGGAGGACTTTATGGTCAATGAAACAAAAGTAGCTGATACAGATAGCTTTTATACGTGGCGCTTTAAGTTGCCCAGCTAAGCAGGCAAGTCGACTTCCCTTGTCCTTGTTTGTGGTGTGGTGTGGTGTGGTGTGGTGTGGTGTGTGACAAACATAAATATAGGTCCTGCAGATTTGTCAAAAAACGTGCTGAACCCCACTGGGGTCCAACCCTTTTTTTTTTTAATATATATACATATGTTTGGTGGATTTTTTTTTTTGAACATATTTGCAAGGGACAGGTTTCGAACTCAGCCCGGAGAGGGGGGAATGCACCGGGTGGCTATTGCCACTAGACCTCAAGGGCCAGTTGCATATGTTTGGTGGAATTGTGGAAAAGCTAGTGGTAATTTGTATCTTATGCTCATAAAAAGCATAAAAGAAAAAAAAAAAAACTTGAATTAGTTAGTTCATCTGGTTTGTTAAAAGTAATTGCAAGAACTAACATCAAGTTTTTCTTTTGTCAGGAAGCAACTGAGAATTTTAGTTTCCTTCATTTGAATGGACATCATAAATCTCCAACAGACTGTTCTATAATGGTGGTCGAATTTTATTGACTTTTTCCTTGTATTTTCCTAAAATCACTTAGTATTATGTCAATGACCCCTCCATTTTTCTTGATACCACAACTGGAAGACTATTCCAAAAAGAAGTTATTGTGTCGGTGAAATAATCCAATAGAAAGAATGTGTTCCCCCAAGATAATGAAATAAAATAGCCAGTCCCAGAGAAGATTGTTGGGATCTAGGTTCATTCTAGCGATGAAAGCCAGTTTGAAGAAAAAGGAAGATGTTAATGATGATTTAGAATAAATTAAGAAAAAGTTTATGACCTTTGTTGTAGTGGGAATAAGTGTATATGGACCAATCAATATCACTTTTAGGCTATATAACCAATGATTTGTTGATCCAAATAAAAAGAATTTGACTTTTTTTAAATAATGTTTCGAGTTCAAGTCTTGTAAAAGAAAAAATAAACGTTGAGAGCACTTCTTTTTATGGGATTCAACATAACTCGATTCCAAATTAATTAGAATTTAATGTGGTTATCCAATATTAAAAAATTAATGCTAAAATAAAAAAAAATAAAAAAAATCTTTAGCTTATAGTAGTATATCATGGTACAATCCTCACTGTCAATAATGCGCTTTATGATAATGAGACTCGGTCTTATATTTATATATAAACTGTCTTTATGGATGTTAAATCCATATGCTTAGCAATTTTTTTGCTGAATATATGACTTCAGAGTCATATCCGTGCACGCGGACTTGGGATGTAACAGGTGTTTTTGGCAGCTGTATTATGTGTTTACCGTTTCATTTCCGTGTTAAAGCTTTCATTCCTGTCTTGTTCTATTCATGCAATGCAAGTTCCTTTCCTTTGTAGCTGGGGTCACCCTCGCCTTGACTTCCTCCTCATTTGGCTCATCCTCGGGCAACTTGTCACCATTCTTGGGTCATGCTTTTCTTTTTCTTTAGCACCTTTTCTTGCGGATTTAGGAGTGGATTTCACATTGATTTTGACTCAGTTTTATGGTGTTAGTTACTAATATAGTAAAAGAACAAAAATCAGAAAGCAAAATAACACCTATACTAAATAAAATCATTTTTTTTAATATATTGCTTGTTGTTATAGTAATTAGCTCTTTTCACTTGACAACACGAGTGAAATGATATAATATCTTATTGTTTAATCATAAGTTACTATTGTAAGATATGTCAATGCAAATTAACTACATAAAATGTTTTAATGCCAAGCATGGTGTTGTTCATTAAAAAAAAAACTAAGCATGGATTTTTTTTTTTTTTTGAGTATTGAGAAATTATGGGAGGATAAGGGATTATTTTGAAGTGATTGGTGAAAATTAAACTTTCGACTAACTAATCCCAAGCACTAAAATTTAAGAATGAATCACTGAACCCAATGGTTTGGTCCAATTAAGCAAGGTGTTAATCTTTTTCTTTTTTGTTTTTTTTTTTTTTGTTCATTTCATGCTAAATAACCTTTTTCGGTATTAGAGATATTGTTAGATTTATAGTCTGTTAAACTTTAATTACAACCTTCTCTACTTTTCACAAACTAAAAATACAAAGCGGTTCTTTGTGCCTGGGTATATAAACTTGAAAGGATTTTAAGGGTGCAGTTATTAAATTTTTTATATATTAATCAATAAAAAAGGATACAAATACAAAAATTGATATTGACTTTAGCAACAATACAATATGAATAATTTTAATTAAGTGATTGATAAGATTAAAGTTAACTTCTTTTTTTTATTTTATTTTTTAATAAAAATTAATAGTAAAAGGAATTTTTATGGTATAGATTAATAGTATATTTATTGCACATTTTTATCATTAATTTATATAAAAAAATAAAAATTCACTTAAAGTTTTATAAATTATTTAATTTAATTATTTCACATAATATTGGTGTTGAAAATAAAATTTGTTTTTATAATTTTTATGCAAATTAATAGTAAAACAAAGTGCAATAAATACATTAGTCAAAGATTAGAAAAACTTATTGATAAGAAGATTTAATAAATAGATTGTTAATATAGGAAAAAATACATATTAGTCTCGATTTCAAAAATAAATTGAAGTTTTAACCTTAAATTATGTTATTTTATTTAATTAAAATTTAATTCAAAATTTAAAATCTATCTTATTAAATATTGATATTTAAATTTGTAAATTAATTATATTAAAATATATAATCGGTTTATAAATTTAGATATCAACATTTAATAAAGTAAAATTTTAAATTTTAAATTGAAATTTCAGTTTTCAAATATAAATTAAAATTTTAATTTTTTTAGAAGTGAGAATTAATATACACTAATCTCTTAATATGTACTTTAAAATCACAAGTTAAAAAAAACCCAACTTGAAAAGTCAGGAAGCCATTTATTCTATCATCTATACTTAGAACAAAACAAACATGATTTCATCTAAGAGTTATTTTAGCATGTGCTCTAAAATGTGTAATTAAAACATCTTTTATCATTAATTTATATTATAAACAAAAATTAACATTTAATTATTTAATTAATTATATTAAAATTCATCTTAATTTGTATAATCTTCAATACAAATTAACGATAAAAAAAAATTCTTTTATTGTAGTCTTAAGCGCATATCTTTAGAAAGAAAACCCTTGATGAGGTCCATTTAAGGCAAATTAGGCTTAGGCTTAGGCAAGGCAGCTACAGTAGCTTCGCAAAATCTCCAGACTTGTGCACTCCTTGTCCAGGTTTGAGTCGTATTTACTCCTCGATGTGCCGGAAGAGTTTGCCTCACGAACTCAACATGGCAGTGGAATCCCATTGTGGTGAGTTTGAGGCAACAATTAGTACCTAGATGTACAGGATCAGTAGCATTAGCCGGATACATGTTGTGCATGATCTGATCCCCACACTTCAAAGATAGAGATTTTGAGCAATTGCGCACAAAATCTGAGGGCATGTCTTTCCATGATGGTGTGGGTTGATCATCATCGTCATGTACAACAGACCTAATGCCGTGACTCGGGGTGATCAAAGCCAAAGAGACAAACAAAGCTACCAAAAGACAGATCTCAATTCTCGCCATCTTATAATTTCTCTTCTCTAGAATTGGGAAACCCTCTTCTGTACTTTGAATGGCAAAAGGAGAGAATTGCTTTGATGGGTTAGGAATGGTTCCAGAAAGGTCAATTTATAGGATTAGAAAATGGAGGTTAAATGCTTTAATTTAAGCGTTTTATAAAACGCTTTGTTTCTTTTAATGTGTTATAGTGCATTAAATAAGTACGGAGATATCAACGAATTGTAATTTAAGTAAAAAAACTCAATTTCTCTTCTACTTGATTTCTCTTTTAATGTAAATGGAGAGATATGTGTTGGAAGAGCTTTTGTCCTCATGGAATCCGACTTAACTTAACTCCAGATTAATTAAAACTCAATGTAACTCTTGTATAGCAAAGGTTAGTGCCAAAAAAATAAGTATGGAGATTATGCAAAGCTAAAGTAGATGCCTTACCTATGTTCGTTGATCATTGTGCTCCTTAACTAATTCAAGTTTATGCCAATTATATAAGAAGTTTAGTGGTAATCTTTTTTTTAGTGGAGATAAAAGATCTTGAATTTGAATCACATGATATACAAATGAGATGATATCAAAGATTAAAATTGGTTACTTTCTAAATTTAAATTACATAACATGTAAATAAGATGTGTTCAAAAATAAAAAATAATTACATTTAATTGCGTAACCCAAGATAAAAAAAAAAAAGTCTAAACTTATACATTTATAAAATAAAAACTTTCTATTTGTTCAAATTATAATGCAATAAATAGATAGTAATATACTTTATTACTGAAGTGCAGAGAAATTAAATACATGACATATATTACACAAATACTTCTTATTACACATGAGATAAGAACTTTAATTACCTATGTTATTTAAACAAACATATATAGAACTCTTGTAGAAGAGTATATAAGACAATTTTTATAATATAAAGACACATAAATATAAGCATACGTCTATCATATGCAAATAACATACTAATA